TTGGGAATTGATGTTACACCCACCATATAGCCCTGATCTCGCGCCATCGGATTACCACTTATTTCGATCCCTGGACAACTCCCTTCGTGGTAAAACTTTTAACGATGATGACGCTGTAAAATCTCGCTTAACTCAATTTTTGGCCGAAAAGGATCAAACTTTCTACGAGCATGGAATTTTCAAGTTGTCAGAGAGATGGCAAAAGGTCATCGAACAAAATGGAAAATACATTACAGATTAAGCTTCGTTCCAAGTAAAAAAAAATTTTTATTTCATTGAACAAATCGGCAATTACTTATTTGTCAACCCAATACTTTCGCTCTAAAAAATTTCGAAAAACAGCCACAATCGGATCGTCGAACGCCACTTGAATTATCTACCTCGGTAAAAAGAAAGTGAGAAGAGTACTTCCTCGTAGACCCAACGCGCTGAACGTTTAATTGAACTGTAAAATGCGACCAGCGATTTCCGGTACGCCTAACGCGCCGTAAATCTAATTTAGTATAAGAAAATATGAAGCGAACTCGCGCGGCGCACCCTGCAACAACAGCCGGGTATTTATTACACGGCACAGGTCCGACATCCGTTCGAAAAAGACGAAACCGGGGGAAAAAGAAAGCACGGCGAGACAAAGCTCGACACGCCGCGTGGGTGTATCACTTTGTCCGAGCATGGTTTCGGCGAGGAAGAAGGGGTGGGAGGCGGTCGCCGCGAGACAGAACAGGATTAAAAGAGCCGGGGGATCCACGAAACAGCGGCGGCTGGATTCGTCGGATGATCGATCTTGCGTGCCAGCGGGATCTGTCACGAGCATTAAATATTATGCAAATGCGCCGGGCTGCGTTCCTAGTTCGTTTCGGATATCGAAAGGTAGCCGACGAACTTTCGACCATCAGTCAACTCGCGTGGCAACCACCTACGGCACTAATTCGATTGCCGCTGAAAAATCGTCGGTACGATCCCCGACTATATGTTCCGCGGCGTAACGAATTAATATTAACAAAATACGCCCGCGATGATAATAAATGAGAAAACCGTGGGCGCGCTGTTTCGCGAATAAATTAGCCAATCTAGAAATTTATGGACGCTGTTAGCGGTTTTATCGATCTCCGAGCGAAGTGGAAAAATATCGTCGCGTTGCGCGTCGGAATTAATGCGAAACAATCGCGGTATTTATTAGAGCCGCATACTGTGTCGCGATTCATTCTAAAAATATGGAGCATAAGAAGGAAACATTAAGTCGATGAAAACAAATTAACGTTGAGCCACAAGACGTAATGTTCCATTGCGCGACAAATGTTCTGAATATTTCCATACTCCATAAATAGTTTTTTTTGTATTATTTTCTAGGAAGCTGAGAGAGAATAAAACGAATATATAATGTTAATTTTGTTCTTTTAGTATATAGATAGATTATAGATATTATATATTATATTATTATGTATATGTTATATATTATATATTATATATTATATATTATATATTATATATTATATATTATATATTATATATTATATATTATATATTATATA